AAAAGAAATGTGGGTTCCATATGACAGTTTAAAAGTTATAACAAGTTAGTGGAACTAGAATAGTAACCAATTTAATTTTCTAACGGTCTGGCAAACTATGGCCACTAGGCCAAATTAAACTGAATGTGCATCTCTTTTCACAGCTAAGTTAAGAATGTAAAAACCAGAAGAAACAACAAGATGGTGGCATAGGTAACAGCAGTACTTGTGGCCTTCCACAACCACATCGAAATTACAACTAAAATACAGAACAACCATTATTCAGTATCTCCCGAAATCTAGCTGAACCGAAGTCCTACAACCAGGGAACAGAAGCAGCACATCCAGATGGGTAGGAGAGGCAGAGACTGGGGGTCGAATCTGAGCTGAATGGCAGAGATGCAGATGTAGTCCCCACACCCAGGTGCCACAGTTTAAAACTGGGAAGGATATCTCCGCAGTGGAGGTTTCCTGCAGTGAGGGGTCCCAGCCTCACATCAGGCCCTCCAGCACAGGGTTTCAGTGCTGGAAAGAGTTTCCCCACAACTTCGGGCTGTAAAAACCAGTGGGGATTGTGGCTGAATGATGTGGAGCCTGCAGAAGTCCCAGGCAGCTCCTCTTAAGGGGCCAGGTCACAGACTTACAGGGATTCACTCCCTCTGAGTTCTAGCACTGGAGCAGCACCTTGAAAGGAAACTGGGACATTGAGGGAGGAACTAATTTGCATGGAATCAGGGCAAGACCTGGAGGGGTAGTTTTCTCACAGACAGAGGAGTTGGCAGAGGCTACTGCTCCTTTGGCGAGCCCTCTACCCACAGAGCTGGCAGGCAGGTGACATAGTTGAATCTGCTGCATATGGCGCACACCTGTGGCCTTGCCCTGGTGATTCCCGGACACTCTGACCATCCCTACTTATAAGCTCATCCAAGTAACTTCACGTGGCTTTTCCAGACAAGTGGCCTATCTAGCCTCATGCTCAGGACTTTCCTAAAATCTCTCAGACAAGCAGCAGCTGGCCTCAGCATGCCCCATACCTCTCGATAAGTGGCCCCAGGCCTGGCACTAGCAGCAGCCTGCATTGGTTCATAGTGTGGCCTCTCCTGGACACCTCCAACCCCAGCACAAATAGCAGCCATCTAGGGACTGCTGTGTAGCTCATGCTGGGTAGTCTTGGAGGAGGAACAGGCAGAGGCTGACTTTGCACCTCCTGGGAAGCGCCAGAGTCAGTGCGCCTGGTGGTCAGTCTCAACCATGCTGGATTACAACCCTACCACATCCAAGAGTTACACTCAAGCTCCACTGAAGTAAATCCTGCTCCATAGGGGTGTCTACAGCACAGCAGCTCTTCAGTTGTAGCTGTACCTGGTCCTCACAGCCAGGTGGCCTGGGGGTAAATTCCTCCCAGTGACACCAAGAGCACCTAGGCTCAAATACAACAGGACAGTGCACACAGCCCACACAGGGAAGCACCTAGAAGGCCCAGCTCAGGTGACTGGGGAGAATGAGCCACTGGACCCTACAGGACACCTACTAAACAAAGCCACTCTACAAATTCCAGGAGACATAGCAGCTCTACCTAATACATAGAAACAAACACCTGGAAGCAGCCAAAATGTGGAGGCAAAGAAACATGCCACAAAGGGAAGAATAGGAGAAATCTCCAGGAAAGAAACTAAATGAAATAGAACCAAGCAAGCTACTAGATACAGAGTTCAAAATAATGGTTATAAGGATGCTCAAGGATCTTAATAAGACTATTAAGGAAACTAGTGAGATTATCAATGACATAATAAAGTACCAATTTGAAATGAACACTACCACTAACTGAAATTAAGACTAATTTACAGCAAATCAACTGTAGAGGATACTCAGAATGAAATCAGCAATTTGGAATAAGAGGAAGCAAAAAACACTCAACCAGAACAGCAAAAAGAAAAAAAGAATCCAGAAATATGAAAATAGTGTTAGGAGTCTCTGGGACAACTTCAAGCAGCCCAACATTCGCATTATGGGGATGCCAGAATGAGAAGAAAGAGAGCAAGAAAGTGAAAACCTATTTGAAAAAGTAATGACAGAAAACTTCCCCTACCTGGGGAAAGAAACAGACTTACAAGTCCAGGAAGCACAGAGAGTCCCAAAGAGGCCCACAGCGGCCCACAGCAACACACATCATAATTAAAATGCCAAAGGTTAAAGACAAGGAGAGAATCTTAAAAGCAGCAAGAGGAAAGTAGTTAGTTACCTACAAGGGGACACCCATATAACTATCAGCTGATTTCTCAAAAGAAAGGAGTGACAAATATTCAAAGTGATGAAAAGCAAGAACCTACAACTAAGATTTTTCTACCCAGCAAAGCTATTATTTAGAAATGAAGGTGGGATAAAGAGCTTCACAGATAAGAAAAAGCTAAAGGAGTTCATCACCACCAGACCAGTACTACAAGAAATGTTGAAGGGTCTTCTTTAAGAAGAAGCTAATGAACAAAAGAATCTAAGAAACAAAACAGATCTAGAGACATTGAAGCATGCGAAGAACTGTCATATCGCAGAGGGAAGAGGGAAGGAGGGTAGTGGATGGGAAGAGATTAACCAAAGAAGTTATATGCATATAAGCATAACCCGTGGACACAGACAATAATGGGGTGAAGGCCTGTAGAGGGGTGACAGCCAGGTGGAGGGGGTCAATGTGGGGAAAAAATGGAACACCTCTAATACTTTCTATAATAATTTTTTTTTAAATGGGGGAGGGGGGAATGTAAAAACCATTCTTGTTTAAATGGTTGGGGGAAAAATACTATTGTATGACCTACACAAAGTCTAAAATATTTATTATCTGGCCCTTTATATACAAGTTTGCTGGCCCAGTTCAACAATGTGCAAACCACTATAAAGAAGAGATGGACGTTGCTTCAGTCAATGTGTACTTTCTATTCAGCATGTGTAGAAACTAATAATGTTTCTACATACACTGACATAATAAACTGCTATTTATTAAAAGCTGAAGACTGTTCTAAAGCTTTTAATAATTATTGTGAATTATAAATAATTATAAATTATTTCATTTAACCCTCACAATAACTGTGGGTATGTTACCATTCCCATTTTTCATATAATCTTGCCTTAAGGGCACGATTATGTGGGAATTCATCTTCTAATTGGCAACATGATTATAAATAACTTAAATTTTCGAATGTGTTTCCTTCCCTATAAAATGGCACTTTATTAATTTGTGAGATGACCCTAGTATCATCTCTTCATCACCTCATATATGAAGACTGAAAAAATGAACCCAAGTGAAAATATAATGAATGATGGGAAAAGGTTGCAACTAAACTAAAAATATTCTGTAGAACAGCTATTACTTTCAAACTAGTTGTTTTTATAGGAAATATTATCAATGAAAGTATATACTTTTTAAGAAATAATTTATAGTGGAGATTAATGGTAAATATGGGGGGAAATAAAAATTATACTAGGAACTAGTTAAAGTCATTTACCCAAAGGGGCAAACCAAAAGCTCTTGTTAATAATTCTATCCACATATGATTACCCAAAATCAAATGGTTCTTGTCCAAAAGTCTATCAAATTACACACAGAATTTACGGTATACTCTTAATAACTAAGTAAATTTGATTAGATGGAAGAATCCAACTTAACCAATATTGTATAGTTTTATACTGGAAGATATACTCAATACACTAAAAGCATGTATAGCAGGCAGCTTTTAAGAGATCCTCCAAATGATTTCTGCCTCCTGGTATTCACACTCTTGTACAATCTCTTCCCCTATCAGAGGTAGAACTGTCTGTGGCTTGATTTTAGTCAATAGAATATGTCAAAGAATGTCACTCCCATGACTGTGTTATGGGAAAAAGTCATTATATTAACAGTGAGTCCAGGAGCAATAACTCTCCCTTAAGAAATACAGATGTCCAACCTGGAAAAAAAGGCATTTCATCAATTTCTTACTCACCTAGTAACTACACATTTATTGCACATTTAGTATCGGGCCTAATTTCCCAGGCTTTAACAGATACCTAAGAGTGGATTTAATACAACAGAAGTATTTCAGATACCATCTTTAACTGTCTGAAAAATATAAACCATAACACCCCAAACCCCTGCATAGACTGGAGGGCCAGAGACTGGGAAAACCCTCTGTGTCTCAGCTTTTGAGAGTGGCCCTATAATTCTGTTCTGTGTCGAAATGTAGTAGCAAAGAAAATGTTTATCAAGTCAGGATCAAAACAAGGGATGAGGCCATATCAGGAAGATCCTCTATTTGTCTACACAGATAAAGTTTTGCTCCATATTCCTGCATATCACATATGTACTAGAGAGTTGTTTACTTTGCAGGTATGGAGTGAGGGCTAGAAGCTCTATATAAAAAATGACACTACTGTTTATGAAAACAACAGAAGATACTCCAGAGGCAGAAACACAGTAAAAATCCAGTTTTAATTTGTTAGGCAACATTACCGTAAATAAAAATCAGAAAGAAAGGTGTATGCTGAGAAAAAAAAATTCTACACTTGAATGTTAGCTGGTGGATTCAAGAGTAAGGGATATAGATTTGTGAGAATGAAGGAAAGTCAAGGATTATAGTAAAATTAAAAGTCAACTGCAGAGCCCTGGCCAGTGTGGTTCAGTTGGTTGAGCATCTTCCCGTGCAATGGGTAGTTGCCAGTTCAATTCCCAGTCAGGGCACATGCCCAGGTTGTGGGTTCAATCTCTGGTCGGGGTGTATTCAGGACAGGCAACCAATCAATGTTTCTGACATCAATGTTTCTCTCTCTCCCCCTCCCTAAAATCAATAAAAAACATTAAAAAAAAAAAAAGGCAACTGCAGAACAGTCAAACACAGGGTTTGGGAATCCATTTGTAAATACTCAAGTCTACACTGTTATGTACTAATGGCTAACGATCAGTCTGGCTTTTTAGGAGACATGAAACATCTTAGTGACTGGTTGACTGGTTGGTGTCCTCTGCAAAAAAATTCAGTAAGATCAGAATAACTCACGTGATATCCCTTCGTTGATAGCAGCCTTGAAGCAAGCAGGTGATCAGGTCACTGATAAACTCTACATCATCTCTGTGAAGAGCTGCTTCTAACTCCTGAGGAGAGAGACAGGTTGAGAGATCAAACACAGAGATTTCTTAAAATCCATCTGTCCCCTCCACCCCCGCTGCCTTCCCGAAGCAACTGAATGGTCAGTGTAGCAGAAGTGCTACATGGATCAACTGTGACTATCCTCCCCAAAATTACTGCTAGAGGAGCAAGTAGATTTCAACTTCTTGTTTTTCCATGGGGTTTATTTCTCATCCTGCTCCTTCCTAAGCTCCATTCCTTTTATCTGCACACTAGAAGAAACACATACACATATACCTTTTTATAAATCAATGCTAGCAAAATTATCAAAGAATTTAACTTACATAAATATGCTGTATTACTTTCTATTTTAATGGCAAGAGACTAAAGGAGCAAATATGTAATTAGTTGGAAACTTTTCTTCATTTACTTAGCAGTTTCAACAGGTAAACCATCTGCAACAGTTTTAAAGAACCACTATATTTTAAAAAAACACTGGTAGTAAGAAATTTGGCATTTTTTATTTTAAGAAGACTACACATACATGATTGATGATAGATTACTAGAACTGAGATTAATCTTATATCATCTGAAGAGAAGTGAGGTAATGTCTGTTAATGGTCTAATCCTAGGTGAGATGTATTTGAGTTCTTTGGGGTTTAGGTAGACAAAGCCAAAGCTTGTTTTGGCACAGTATTCTAAACAAAGATTAGTTGAATGGAGCTACTGGGTCAAAAACTGACAGTGGGGAATTTTAGGAGGTCCTATTTCTTTTCTCAGTCTCCCATAATAAACCAGTCTTTTCTCAGGTGATGTAATATGTTCTAAGTCATCAACTCTTATGGCGCAAAGTTTGCCTGCATTCTTTCAATCAGGATGCCACTGTCTTCTACATGCAAAACCATTTTCCAAGGGTCCACTATGCTTATGGTCTGATCAGCTCATAATAAGATCTTTATCCATATCTATTCACCAAACTTTCAAGGATCTTATTAATGGTTCTGAAAGCACAAGGTATATATGTGTAAGATGCAATTTCTGACCTTAACACCAATTACATGGCAGTGTGTACTAAAGAGGATAGTCTGCTTCAACTATAAAAATAGGACACCCCTTCTGTAAACTAATTTAATTGTTCCATTTATTACTTTATTTTAAAAAATTCCTAAGTTTGTAAATACTCACTCTGAAAACTTCACAGGACAAAAAACTGTTACCATACTAACTGATACAAATAAACAAAACACAAACTACCCTGAAGTAGTTCAACTGAAATGGAAGGTATCCTATACTCCCTTGAAAGCCTAGGTGAGTGAAACTCAAAAGACAAGGCTTAAGCCTGAAAACATTCTGCTTGCCTTAAATACAAATTTAGGAATTATTAACATCTATAGCAATAATTCTTATTCTTATATTAATTTATTAATTCCTTTGGGCAGAGTTCTTTTCTACATTTTTTTTTTTTCATTTAATCTAGATTTTTAATTCTAAGAACTTTTCTTCATTGTCTTTTGTTCAAGAGTCAAACAAAATTTTAGTAAACAAAATATACTTTCAATAAAATTTTATGTGTATATCTGTAAATAAACCATGAAGCAGCACCATGGGCATCTGTAAAATTTCATCAGTTTTGCATATTGTAATAGAAAACTGTTCACCAGAAATTAGGTGGGATTACCCAAAAACACTACATGTTCAAATCCATACAATCTACATTCTGCATATCAACTTCAGTTGCACAGGTTAAAATGAAGACCCCTTACATAATGTTGAAAATGTGATGCAATCTGCACTTGAATTGGCATTGTACTTCCTCAGACAGGCTTCCTTCATCACAAGTATCTTCTATCCCTGAGAGATCAGCTACATTAAGATGGCTCATAAACTAAATCATGCTGGTCAAAATACCTGCTAACCAAGCAGATTAATAAATTCAAAGCAGGAAACCTCTCATAATCTTTGTTGTTCACTAAGAGCCTCACTTCAGAGCATCTTCTTGCAAGCTGCCGAATCAGTGAATGAAGCTCGGGTAATAAAGGTTTTTCAAGACAAGCCACTAAAGCATAAAGCCATCTTCCCAATTCTGGAGTAAGTCTCTTTCTCCAAACCAATTACTCATATATTCCAAGATACTTGTTATTGTTGCCTGATTCATTCTGCTAACAGTACTAAGCAAGGGAGGAAAACCAATTTGCATATAATCTATTCAAGGACTTTCATTTTTAGCTGGCCTAACAGCTGCTTCAGAACATAACCTTTCACCCAGACAAAAAATTTTCCAGCCATCTTCATCTTCAGATTTTGGCATGGTCACATTACTATCCAATGGTTGTGATTTCCAGTTACTTCTATGTCTATTCACACTCTCTCAAACTGTTGAAAATTGTGCCACTTGTTGCTGTTGCTACTGAAAGAGAAACATTCACAGTCTGCCTTCCTTTTCAACTTCTTTAGGTCAATTTGAGCTACCACAACATCTGGACATTGAGCAGCTTCGATCCTTCTGTCAAGTCGCAGGGCTCCACTGGCAACAGCTGGGGCATCAACTCTTCCATTGCATATTCAGCTGGTGCCCACGAAATGGTTTACAGCCTAGCCAGTTCCCATGTCTAGGTACTTCTACATTCTTTTTAGTGATTATCCAGAAAAATAAGAAACACTACCAACCAGCAATAACAAGGATCTGAACCATAATCAATCAGGATTCATTCACTCAATGAATATTTACTGGGTACCCACCCTGTGTGTAGGATACTTTGTAAGCACTGGGGAACTTAGTTTAGTTAGGAGAGATAAGATAGTACCAAAAAAAAAAAAAAAAAA